CGGTTGCTCGTGGTTATAGGTTCTTAAGGGGGGGGGACAAGAAGTCTGGTATTGAAGCAAGACAAAATTTATCTTTTTTACCACTTGCACAATAATTAAGTTAGAAGTCGATAGTTGAGAAGTTTTTCTTAGATCTTATCTACACGTGATGTAAAAAACCAAGAAGAAGATAAAAGCCATTAGTATTTTATGTTTTTAATCTTTAAGATATACTTTTGAAAACTGAATTTTAAACTTTGATCAGTTAAAATATGTGCGTGGTAAAACATATTATCATATAATTAAAACTTTCAAAATTCTGAACAATGTTCGGTGGCGAATTATTGGAATTGGTCTCATTAAGTGTCCAAGTGTTGGAATTGGTCTCATTAAGAGTGTTACGTCCAAGTGTTGGAATTGGTCTCGTTAAGAGTGTTACGTCCAAGTGTTGGAATTGGTCTCGTTAAGAGTATTACGTCCAAGTGTTGGAATTGGTCTCATTAAGAGTGTTACGACCAAGTGTTGGAATTGGTCTCATTAAGAGTGTTACGTCCAAGTGTTGGAATTGGTCTCGTTAAGAGTGTTACGTCCAAGTGTTGGAATTGGTCTCATTAAGAGCGTTACGTCCAAGTGTTGGAATTGGTCTCATTAAGAGTGTTACGTCCAAGTGTTGGAATTGGTCTCATTAAGAGTGTTACAACCAAGTGTTGGAATTGGTCTCATTGCGGTTCTTATTTCCAAGTGTTGGAATTGACGTCATTATAATTTTTACGTCATGTATGCCAGTGGTTTTTAAACTATGGAGGCAACCATATTTGGGACCGGGGGGGTATGAGAAACGTCAGGAAAACGTTTCGTCTTTCGGTTCGTTTTTTAGGCTAAGTTTATTGTTTTCACCATTGTCTATAAATATATAACAGTTTAAATTAGTTGATCGCTTGTTGTTGTTTTTTTTTGGGGGGGTGGGGTCAAAGTGTATTACAGAGAAGAAAAGGGGCGCGATCTAAAAGGTTTGAGAAATATTGGTGTATACTGTATACAATCCTTCTCCACAAAATGAAGGCGGAAGGATACAGTTTCATAGTTCTTATTATCTATACCTTTATATTGCTCTGATTTTTTTTTTAAAAGCTGGATCTCTTGTATATATATGAAAAAAATAGAATAAAATGATTCATCCCCCCGATACTCCCCTGTCAGTTTAAAAACTGTGGGGGCTAACTAGAATAAAATGAATCAGTCCCCACCGATACTCCCCTGTCAGTTTAAAAACTGTGGGGGCTAACTAGAATAAAATGATTCAGTCCCGCGACACTCCCCTGTCAGTTTAAAAACTGTGGGGGCTAACTAGAATAAAATGATTCAGTCCCCCCGACACACCCCTGTCAGTTTAAAAACTGTGGGGGCTGACGTGAACTGAATATTTTTCGTCAGTTAATGGAAAAATAGAATTTAGAAGAAAATAACAACCTGCTTTCTCAGCACAGCTTAGCAGTAGTACAGTGAACGATTCTCCACTTCTCGAGATTATATTAAATTTACAAACTCAAAATTCATGCGGCTTGAGTTAGGCATGTAATTTCACAGTTCAGAAACTGATTGTATGTTCATACTTCTAAGACGTGACACGTCTTCCATCTTTTTTAAATGGGAGCAATTCATAACTGGACCAATTCTGTCAACCCTTTAAGTCCGAGCACGAAAACGTTTTGACCAATGCGTACCGGAATGTTTGAAATTAAAACGAAACGCACTTGGAAACAAATGTTATATTCCTAATACTCAACAAGCTTAGATAATGTCTGTAATTTGTATGTTTAGTCGGAGAGTAGTATGTCTCAAAAGTTTTAAAACAACACAGGAATGAATTGGGTCGTAATTGGAACAAGAAAAATTTGGGAACCGAAATTTATCAGGTTTAATGTTTAATGGGATATGTTCAACAATCAGGTTGTAATGCTTTAATGGGATATGTTCAGCAGTCGGGTTTTAATGTTTTAATGGGATATGTTCAACAATCAGGTTTTAATGTTTAATGGGATATGTTCAACAATCAGGTTTTAATGTTTAATGGGATATGTTCAGCAATCAGGTTTTAATGCTTTAATGGGATATGTTCAGCAATCAGGTTTTAATGGGATATGTTCAACAGTCAGGTTTTAATGCTTTAATGGGATATGTTCAGCAATCAGGTTTTAATGGGATATGTTCAACAGTCAGGTTTTAATGCTTTAATGGGATATGTTCAGCAATCAGGTTTTAATGGGATATGTT